AGCCCATGTGAGAAATTATGATGAAATGAGTAATTTGGGGCTAAAATTGAGTAGTAAATGTGAATTTATGTGGATATGTGTTGAGAAAAGGTTGAGTGAGCCAAGTTGTGCCAGGTGTTGGCAAATTGTAAAAATTTATGAAATGTGAAAATGGGTAGTTGAGGGGTCAAATTTTAATATATGAATATGTTTGTGATATAATATGGTCAATTAGGTATATTAGGTCCTTTTGGACTTGATTCAAGGCTTTGTGTAGTCTAATGAGAGAAAGAGATCGATTTGAGCGCTTGAGTGTGCAAAATTTTCAGGAAAAAAGTTACTTTTTGCACCTGGGTGTTCAAATTTTGATCGAACCTTTAGATCTTGTCCAAACTTATCTTTTTAGATAGGCACACCACGGTGTATGGCACAAAAAGTTAGGCATGTGGTTCTATGCCACATGCCAGGGCGTACGTACTGCCCATCACGGTGCATGGCCCTAATTTTCAACCTAATTTTCCTGGTTTTAATGCATGCAATAGATGAGATAGACGTCTATGATTTATTTCTTCCGCGTATTCTCTAATGTATTATGGTTTTTGATGATTTTGTGAAATAAGTCTTTGGCCAAAGCTTTTTAAACAATTTCTTTGATTATTGATTGGGGTGTTTAATATGGTAATTTAGTTAATCTTCTCCTGTATCGAGTGGATATAAGAGGAAGTTATAGCAGGAGTCCCAAAATGCTTCAAAAATGACCCAAACATGAAACCCTAGTAGAGCATGTCACCTCTCTCTCAATTTCTATCCAAAAATCTCCAAAATCTATCATTTTGAATGACATTCGAGTTTTGAATTATTTCACGGTCACTATAGTGAGTTGCATTATTTGCCGCAGCAAACAACCCAACATAGGCAAATAGCTCTACTTAAGCCCAATTTCTTATACCTAACTTGGCTCAATAGCCTCAAAGCCCTATTCCAAACCCTTTAAAAGGCCCAATAAGTCTATGTGGCCATCCAAATATACGAGTGAAAGGATTGTATTTCAAAGTGAAGTGGGTGAGCACAGTGAGGAGTTTTCTCATTGTGCCACACACCATGGCTAGTGCTTCTGTGCCATAGCGCATGGCACAGAAAGTAAGATAATGTGATGTGGTCAGCTTATGATTTCAAAGAGGAGAGGGCTGAAGAACATGAAAGGAGGAGAGGAGATGACAATCCTCTGTTAAGGCAAGAAGAATTGAGACCTCAGGAGACATTTTTGACTAATAGCTTATCGGGTAAGTTTCATACTGCCCTTAGCTTCGATTCTACACTAATTTCTCTTAGTATGAGTCATAGAGAAATTGAATCGAGAAGTTTTAAGAGGTTTATTTCTTACCTTGTGGTAATAAAAAGGTTCTTGAGAATCAAATTAGGGTATTTGCAACTAAGTTAGAGTTAAACGATAAAGCTTTGCTCAAATTGACCCTAAACAAGAAGAAATTGAGAATGAAAGTTGAGAAGAGATCGTGTTAGAATTGATAGAAATCATAGAAAAGGGTAATTGAATTGTAAGGAACTTAAATTGACCAAGTGAAAGGAAAAGAATAGTTAAATGTGATTTTAAGTAATACTTAGTACTTGTGGTCAATTTGATTAATTGGCTCATAGTGCTAATTGTGTGTAGATTGTCATGTTGCGAGCGTGCTTTAAGAAGAGGAAGCGAGTGGGTACATTATTTGTTGAGAAATCAATGGGTAACCTTTTATTGTGACAAAAAGGTTGAGGTAATTGAATAACTTACTCTATTTGATTGCCTATTGTAATTATTTGTGAGTTATAGCTAGTGCATGAAACTATTTTAGACTATGCTAGTTTGAGAAAAACATTTGTGCGTGAAAAAGGATTTCAATGAAAAGGATTTCAAAGAAAAGAGGAAATGGATTTATAGAAAATGCAACCATATAACTCTGTGTGTGTGTGTGTGTGTGTGTGTGTGTGTGTGTGTATGGATTTGGAATGTAAGCTACTTATAGTGTGTGAGCATGATCATAGGAGTATGGGAGTTCATCCATAGAGAGAAATAGTGAGAAATCCATGTGGCATTATTCTTCTTAGTGCTTGACGGGGTGTGGTGTTGGAGAATTTCATCTCCTTAACACCTATTAAGGTGAAATGTTGGGAATTATCTCCTTAATACCCATGTAGGGTGTAGTGTTAGAGATCAGAGCTCCTTAGCATCTGTTTGATGTGGTGTTGGAGTAACAAAACCCCAATCATTGCGTGTGATAGGGGGAAACCGTAGTCTGAAAATAGGACAGAACACCTTTGGCTAGGTGATTCTACCATTGAAATTGCGCTCAGCTCAAAGAGTGTGTGTTGAACTAGTACGAGCTTATGGTTGCGGTCGAGGTGGTATGAAGGTTTGAATGGTAGTTGATCACGCTAATTGTGATAATTAGTTTTGAAAATGGTTTTATAAAGTGAAAGTATGTTATATGCTTTATTTAGTTACGTGTAAGCAATATTTGTTTACAATTACTTGTGATAGTTAGTAGTAGTGAGTTATTCCATTATTGAGATTATTATCTCATCCCATGGTTACATTTTTACAAGTTATAATAGTAAGTTGGGTAAAGGGAAAGACTCAGGACCGGCTTAGTGTTGCTATAGCCGTGATCTTAGAGTTTGTGTAATGAATTTGTTTTGTTATACATTTGTAAATGAGTAAGTTGTCATATCAATCATATACATGTTTACAATTGTGACAAGTAGTGATTTTGAGAATCTTAGCCCGGTGTGTATGAGAATATGATACATGTAGTGAATGATGTGATAATAGACTAAGATTTAGTTGTGAATGTGTTGCGATTATAAACATGGTGATTTATGTGGTGATTGTATAGTTAATGGCTGAGTGTTTGTATGATGATATTGTTGTTCAATCAAGTGTAAATGGCCCTTTTGAACTTGGTTCTAGGCCCAAAACAATCTAATGAAACAAAGTGTATGATTTGAACACATTGGTGCTTGAATTTTTAAAGGAAAGTAACTTTTTAAGCCCAAGTGTCCAAATTTAGATCAGACGTCATATGTGAAAATGGTGTACGTTAGAATTTCACTTATGTGAACTATCATATGACAGTAAATTTCTATCATGTGCACCATGGCACATGACACAGATAGGGAGTCCATAGCTCTATGCCACATGCCACGATGCATGTGGTGTATGCCGCAGTGCACTACCCCTTTCTAGTATTGTTTCTTTTATTTTACCTTATATATTAGGAGTGACAAATGTAAGGAATTGTCTTCTATTGTGTATGATTTGATGTGTGATTGTTTTTAAATGGTTTTAACAAAGAAGTCTTAGGTTCCTAAGCATTTTAAATAATTTTCTTTGACTCCAGTTTGGCTTATGATGTGGTGATTGCATTAACCCCTTCTTATACCAGATTTGTGGTGAGACTACCATTTGGTATGGGGAGAAGTTACACCATTACCTAAATTACTTAATCAAAACACTTAATTAATTAATTACTTTAATCTTGGAATTAAATTTCAAGATGTTACACTTTGCTCCATATTGCAAGAATTGCCATTTTTTTAATACAATAGGGATTTTATGATCAAATTGTGTTTGGTTGGTGTTATTGTGTGTATAATTTTTCCATTAGGTGTTTATTAGTCCATGGAACAAGTTCAAGCCTTAGTGGAGGATAATAGCATTTGGTTTGGGTAAGGGCAATTTGGATGCGTCTTAAGTTGCAAATGTGACTTCTTTGTATTTAGGTGTCCAACTTTCAAACAAGATATTATTTTGGTGTGAGACGAGTGCCGTGAGCTAGATACTTGGATAAGCTAAGTGCGAGCGGTTGAATCACTATGATTGGATGTTGGATAGAGAAATGACACATGTCGAAAGTTGGTTTAATGTGTTGTCATGACAGCAACAATATGCCGTGGCATAAGGCATAGCAAGGAGGCTCCTCATTGGGGTAAATTATTGTCTTGCCTAAGTCTTAATTATATTTTTTGGATTTGGTCCTTATGCTTCCCTCATATGTTTAAGTCTAATTTTAATCGCATCTTGAGCCCAACCAACAATTTTAAAAAGGTTTTTCATCAGGATCCCCATTTTCAATGATTTCAAACTTTAATAAACCCTTTCTATATTGTAGATCATTGGAATTTTTTGTTCGTTAATGACTATGATGAAGTGATATGTATGGTAGGTCCGGCAATATCTAGGCAAAGATTACACACATAATATGAACATGAGAGAGAATCCATCAAATGTGAGTGGGAGATGTTGTATTGCTCCCTTGATGAATTAGGCCAAGTGAGTGGAGGTTCGAGTTGGGTTAAATAATTATATTATTCAATGGTGGTTACCAGAATATTTGGAAGGAGTAGTTATTTTGTTTTTAAATAAATAAAGTATCCACCCATTATCAATGAGTGATTTTATTGGGTGATTTGGAAAACATAGGTTTTTAAATAAACTTCTCCCAAAAAAAAAAACTCTCTTCATCTCTTTTTCTCTGCCTCTCTTAGTGTATCTACTGTGAAAACCCATTAACCTGGTCTTGCTTATAGTTCAAGAGAAATCTATCACCATGGAAGGTATGTTTTCAGACTCTGAAAATTTATAGTATGGAGATCATCATGCTTAGTATTGTCATTATCCTACAGGAAGTGGCATAGGTCAGTCATTGTTGGATATCATCATGCTTAGTGTTGACATTGCCTTAGTGTTTTAAATACCATGGTAGAATTTAATTATGGTTAAGTGTGTTGTTAATTATGTGATTAAAGTTGAGGACGTTACACATATGGCTAGTCCATTTACACTATTCTATAGACATGTTAAATTATATATATATATATATATATATTCAAGAAAATAATGGAACCCATAATCTGATATGAAGAACACTAAAGAACAATTGAGCCAATTCCGCTTTATAGTTTCATTAATTACTTAATTAATTTGTTACATAAATTAAATAAGAAAACATTAATTCCGTAGGATGGAATATAACTTAGGGAACATGACATACACTCACATAACAAGTTCCATACATTAAATTCATAAGTACGTAAGCACGTAGTTGGTCATTAAGGCTGGTGAACAAGGCCAGCCTGATATATATATATATATTGGCATATGATATAGTTCTTTTGGTCTTAATTTTTGATGCCAATTTTGTGATTTATTCTTCATATGGTCACCTGCGTCAGAAAAAAGGAACAACACAAAATTAAAGAGTGGGATAATTTTTGTCGTCAATATTAATGTTAATATGAATAAATATCAATCTATCATCCAGGATTTATTAGAAAGTGCACTGTTCATGTGCAAGATGCATCATGATCACTTTCTGGAACTCTATGAATTCTCTCATGTTACTCGAAAATCAGGAATTTACAAATAAGAAATAATCATCCCAAAATCACAATTTTTTTTTTTAAATTCATACTACAGCTCATCTTTACAGTGAAATCTTTTAGGTGGGTTTGGATTAATAGGAATTTAGATTTCACCAAATTTCTCATTTGGATATATAAAAATTTATGAATCTAGATTTGATTGAAATTCAAATTCATTTATTATTATAATTCCTTTGTAATTTTAAATTCTCTTTACATCAAAGTCATTTGAAATTCTAATCACTTTAAACATCTTGTTTTCTTTATGTTTTCACCATTGATATAACAGTCTCATATCTTTTCTCATTTCTCATTCTTATATCTTTTTTAAATTAAAAATTAGATTTAAACTCGTGATTCTCAATTTTTTATTTTCATTTTGAATCTTAACTAATATGATCTTTCTTCATTTGAAATTTTTTAAATTATCCAAACAAATGATTTTAAAGACATGTTATTTTAAATGTGAGATTTGAAAGGCAAGATTTTAAAATCTGAAATTCAAATTCAAATCTAAATCCATCAATCTAAATGGTACCTTAATGAGTTGAATGAATTGAACTTTAAGGATTTAATCATATCTATATGAAAGGATATGAAATTGAGAAATGGCGTACCCAAGATGAAGCATCTTCTTGTCAGAGTGAGAGTAAGGAGTTGCAGGGGGTTCGATTATGGTAATTGGATTGAAGAAATTGCGAGAAGCCAATGCTTGCTGCATCGCACTCAGCTGCTCCTCTCCTGACACCATGTTTGCTTGCTGCTCATCCCTCTCCATTTCAGCTATCTGTTTTTTTTTTTTTTTTTTGCCAAACATTTCAGCTATCTGTTTATTTATTCATATCAATTAATAATTTCCTCATAAATACTCCCTCAGGCCATAATATATGGCATTTTTTATAAGCATTGTTTGGTTCAAAATATACGGCAACCATGAGTCAGTTTTGTACATTATTTTTCAATAATACCCTTACTTTCACTCAAGTAATTAATAAGGGTATTTTGAATGAGTCAATTGTTATATATATTTATTCTAATCAAAGGTATGATTGGAAACATGTGAGAATTTTTTAAAAATTAAGCTTTTAACTAACTCATTTTAAGAAACATAAATTATTTAACAATAACTTATATTGTCATCTGGAGAGAGTAAAGAATAATTCTCCTTCACTACAATTAAAAGATATATAGAGGGATAATAGATACATACCTTAGTCCGAAGGCAGATATTTTCATTTTCCAGCTCAATCTCCTAATTCAGTCGTTATCATTATAGAGGACAAAAATGATATATAATCAAAAGCTAAGCACATCAATTTAAAGTGATAAATAAATAATTAGAATTAAAAGTCAGAAGAATATATCCTATTTCCGAATTGTTACCCTTTTTTGCCGGTATTCGATTTCTGCTAGCAGCATCTCATGCTGTTGTAGTACATATAATTAACAAAACAGTTAGAATTAAATCCATCTAAAGGACCAAAAGTAAGAACGAATAACACAGTTACACATTGTTTCTTGATTCAATCAATTGCATTACATTTTGAGAGGACATGTAGGGTGGGTTACAAGAATAGGTGTAAATGGAATTTTTGGCCCCCGGTATCTCAAAAGAGGAGAACACAGCTAAGCCAGTTAACGGTTTTAAGAAAACACATATAAATAAGTATGATGCCACATTTTAATATATACAAAACCTGAAAGTATTTAATTTATGGATATTTTCACTAGTATAGCTTTTCTCTTGGTCAACTCTATTTGATGTGAGACTTCTCTCCACATTTTAGTTCATTCACACTTGAGATCCTAACATAAAATTGGAATATGCTCGCAAACAAGGTTACTAATTTTTTAATGTTTAGGTTGGAGACATATAATCCTAAACACACACGCATGATGTAATTTTGTATGATTATGATATTTTTAGAGACTTGATAAAGATTAAGTTTCAGAAATCAAATCGGTGATCAAGGAAAACTTGAGAGACCAAAAATTTCATTGTCCCAAAAACTTGAAAAAAAATTGAATCAATGTTTTTTAAGGTTGGATTGGGGGGGGGGGGGGAACAGTTTTGTGAATCACAAAAGGAAGTAATTAAAAGGAATGCAGGACAATATAAGACGACATGTCGTTTCAGAATCGTTTGAGATACCTTCTTAGATCTGATTCGAGAGATTCCTCGTTCGAGTCTGTTTTCCAGCTGCTTCAGTTCTTTCACAGTGAGTGTGCTTAATGCATCACCCATCAAGTGCCTATACCACCAACCAAGCCCACATCAAATAATCAACTTACCGTTAATTAATTAATAATTAATTCCACTCCAGAGTATATATTGGTGCAGATCAGTTTAAACTTAAGTCATATATACTCCAGAAATTTTAAGAATTTGCTTTTTAGGGAGAACCACATCCAAGAATCTGATAAGAATAAACTTATTCATAGACAAGAACAAATACAAAATGGATTATTGTTAAAATAAGAATATGAACTTTTTGTTTAATAGGACCTGTAATTAGTCTTTATTGGCGAATAAGTTTCTTAACAGGTTATCAGATGTGATTCTTTGGTGTTTTTTTTTTTAAATCTACTCGAGGGGAATGAGTTTTTAGAAATTAAAAATACGTGAATTTCATGAATTTTTAACATATTTTATATTTTATAAAAATAATAAAATTAAATGGGAAAATAAATAGAAAAAATAAAAACTTCATATATAAAACTTCATATATAATTATATATCTCAATTTCGGAGGATTTTATCCCCTGAGGTTCATCTCCGCAATTGACAATGCAGGGACCGAAAGAAATACTGAGTACTGAAATAAATAAGTCAACCTAAAATTATTTTCAATATAATCACAAGACCTATTTTTAATGTCAGTAATGCAAAAAATCATTATAAATATGTAAATAAACTTGTGACACAATCATTAAGAATAACTGAAATTACCTGTTTGAATTTTGAAGCATCTGAATTTGCTGACGCAGCTTCGCGGATTCTTGCTGATAATACTGCCATTCAAAGATACATGCATCAATATTTAATTATCATTGCTTATCTTTGCTATAACATTCAAAATAATAGAAAGAACTTTAAAAATCATATTTTTAAATTTGTTTTGAGGAACACACCAAATTAACTTAGTGGCATAAACATCTAACTTTTTAATTTAATTAATTTAAATTCAAGAGATTTCAACGTATTGCATATTTTGAATAAGTTAAAATTATGGAGTGAAATTTTTATGTGGTTTTTGCGTAAAGGGTAACTTTGGACTTATTTATGCATCTTTTTATCCTGAGAAATTGTACTGCTAGTTTACCTCAGAAGTACCAAAATATAGTTACTTCAATTTCATGTTAGAATTTTATTTGAGCTATGTTAGAGAGAGGAATTTTTTTACCTGCGATTTTCAGAGTAGACTGATTAAAAAATGAGATTAATAAATTCCAATGATCAAACGAATTGATTGAAAATTAATACAAAATGTAATACTTTTTTGGCCAAGAATAACTTTTAATTATTAAAATAAACTTTTACTTGTGTAAGTAAAATATGTTTTTTGATAATTTCTGTATTCATAGGTAGTAAATTAAATCTATCTTCACGAAAATAGACGGAATTTGCATCATCATCATCATCATCATCATCATGTAAGGCCTTTTTAATTAACTTGAGGAGCGAGGTATTACAATTTAAGACATGGTTTTGAAGACAAATATAATACATCGTAGTTTTACTAAACTCATCCGATTTTTTTTTTTTTTAAGGAAGAGTTTAGTCACGATGTAGAAATAACATTATGATACAGCAAATTTAAATAATTCCATGAGGTAATTAATTTTACCTGAGCATTGATTTCAGTAATAGAGCATGCACCAGAACTATCTGAACAAGCCTTTTTGTACCTCTCTATCGTTGACCTTATGCTGCTAGCAATACAAGACACAGACAGATGTCAAAACATGATGAACACAGAAAGGTTAACTCATAACAACAAAATATAATTGATTTAGATGTCAAAGGAAAGTTTTCTTTTCTAAAATAATATGCATGCAAATGTGTTTAATTTTACACTAAAAACTATAAATATAATCACAAGATGAGTAACATTGAACTCAAAGTGAGAGAGAGAGAGAGAGAGAGATTATATGAGTGATCGAGATAGTGTGTATATTGCTTTTTTGATAAACAGCTCAATTACAGTTTCAATGTAGTGTATGACCAGGGACGGATATAGCATGACATTCATGGGGGCAAAATTTTAAATAATATAAAACATGGAGGTCTAGAATCAATTTTAGCAATTTTAGTAAAGAGAATTCTTAAAATTTTTAAAGGGAAGTTAAGCCCTAGGTACATACATGATATTTTGAGCTGAATGTGAGAATGTGCACAAAGTACATATAACAATAACAGACACATACATACATACATACATACAAACATACATATGCACGAAAAGAATGTTTAATATGCATGGTTAAAAGTATAAGAAATAACCTAATTAAAGAAAGCGAAACAACATTTGAAGGAAGAACATATTTTATAGAAAATGAAAGTATAACTTATTTTGATGTGTGTTCTTGGGAAACAAGGAGCTGTTTGTTTTTATTTTCAAAAATTATTTTCTGTTTTTCAAATAAAAAATTCATTTGAGTCAGGTGTTTCAGATTTAATTGTTTTTATAAACTGTTTTTTATTTTTTATTTTATTACAAATGTTCTCCTTTTTCTGTCTTAAAAAAAATGGAAACAACTTAGAGTTTTTTTTTTTAATAAAACACACTACATTTGACCATTGTCAATAACTATCATAGACTACCACCATTAATTAACCACTAGTGACCACCTTTATTGGCAATTTTTTTAATTCTAAAATTATTTTTAAATTAATATAATCAAACAGATTTTCATTTTATAAAAATTTGAAAAAATTAATTTCAAAAATAAAAAATGAAAACAAAACCAAGCAAGTCGATATATACTTAATTATTTTCTTCTTTGTCTACCTACAGTCTTTCTTCCCGAACCTGAGACGACTGAAAGTGAAAAAGATGTTAAGAGACATCAAAACTGTTTCTTTTTCACTGAATAAGGCAAACAAGTACTGATGGGTTTCCCCTTGGAAAGCTAGAAATGGAAATTAAGGGACAAGCATGTGAAGAGTTACACACACATTATGTCAGAAGGATTTGAATGCAAAGACATTAGCGTTCACATATTTCACTGACACAACTGATCTGTTTTTCTCTTTCAGCTTAATCTGTTCAGCAGCTCAGTACAAGTAATTCCAATATTACGTGTTTGTGTGTGTGTGTGTGTGTGTGTGTGAATAATGTTAATTAGACTCTATGGAACTTGTTAATTAAGAGTTTAAGACACATGTGACTAAAGAAATGACAGTAGTAGAAGTAGAGAATTAATGAGATAATAAAACTTCATTTAGCTTGTGTACAGTAATAACTCGGGATGATACATGCTTTATTAGGTTATAAAAACTTAGCATATTAAACATTTTTTTCTGCTATTTAAATTGCTGTAATGTAGTCCGCCCCTGATAAATAGGACCATAAAATGAGAATCTCAAACCCAAATTAATAATTATTTAGAATTGGGTTAATTATGCATTTAGATAAAATAATTATGGGCGGGTAGTTTTGCGAGGGAGCAGTTCTTGTAACTGCCAATTAAAAGCTATCATGCCATATTTGTTGAAGGCAGAAGAGAAAATACGCACGCTTTGTGGAAAAGGATCCTCTCTAGTTTTTGGTTTTTCTCTCATTTTTCTCTCTCAAAAAGAACGGTGTATCTACTGTGAAAATATATTTGAGATTCATGATATACCCCAGATTCTGTGTGGAATGAGACTCGAGAAATTCTATTGTCAGCAAAGGTATGTTTCTCGGACCCTAGAAACTTACAGAAATCATACAAATATTGTCTCAACCTGTTTTCGAAGTATAAATTCATTTCAATTTAAGGAAAACCCGTTCACTACCAAAAAAAAAAAAACATAAAGTTGTTTAAGTAAAAATTAAATTCGTAAAATATATATAACTGTGTAAAATTACAAGCCATAATAAGTGCTAAAAAATTAATATGTCAAAATATTACAAGTATATTTTGAACAATTTCACAATTAGATATCTATTGCATTTCGAATTTTGAAATACACTAGATGGCAAGTTTATTAACAGTAGTGTATGTAGCTAGCTTCTTGTATATCTTTCAATACAGTGAGACAATATATATTATCATCCCAGAGTAAGTACAGAAAGAATAAATATAAACCTATGCTGAAAATAGGGACAAATCCAAGTAACCCATACTCCTATGCAACGAAACGGAATCAAGAAACATAAAGTCATTGAGCAGCAAGACTCTTGTAGTTTCGAGATATAAAGTAGTTTTTATGAAGATCTGTACTGTCCTGAATCTGGAAGTAATAAATTTAACCAAGATCATTGGAAGGCCTGCAAAACTTCTATGTTTCACCTTTTTAAGGTAAAATTTTTTTATGCAAGGGAAAAAAACGCTTTAATTTGAAAATGAATAATATCCTCGAAGATGAGCAAAAGGTTGTGAGAGACTTCGAAAGCTAAAAGTCGAAGCAAAGACAAATAAGGGATCTAAAAATATTGTTGTATCAGTGTGGTTCTTTTTTGGTTACAAGATCAGAATTCTAGTTCCATCAAATGCCAGATGGCTTCATATGTGTGTGTGCACACACACACACAACAAAGATAAATAAAAGCTGAAGCTAGATAAGTCAACTATTGACTAAGTTACATTGTGATTGGCTCATTTCTCGTTTGTGACAGATGACTCATTACATTGAGTCAATTTTTACTTAAAAAAAGAAAAAGAAAAAAGAATGACTCATCACATTTTGAGTCAATTTTAACTATTCAATTAATTTGGGCCTTCCAAATGTATTCTTCATTGAGCTAAAGGATAATTTTACTTTTAAACTATAGTTCTAAAAGCATATGGAATCTTAAATTATTTTAATTTGAGGCAATTTTTCCCTTCAATAAATAGAAAATTGTCATTAAAAAATAACTTTAATAGTTGGTTAAACAAAAAATAGACATACAAAATTTACAGAAAATTAAAGAACCCACAAAACTATAAATATATACTTTATTAAAAAATAATATCAATTAAATTTCTTAAATTACAAATAAATTTCAAGAAACTAATGTTATTTTTTACCCACATAAAATACCAAAATGCCATTTTAATCAGACATTATAACCAACTATAGGTAATTAATTATTAGATCACCATTGCTCACAACAAGACTTGCAAGTAGCTAAAAAAATTTATTTTTTAATAATATCTTATTAAAATATTAATGATTTAATATATAATAATTTAAATATTATTTATAAATTTTCATACACAATTTACAAGCTAATTTTTGAGATCTATGAATTCTTTAAAACTTACAATATTAGCGTATTTGTGACTTAAAATTGAATATGTTTTTTTTATACCAGCTGTATATTTTTTAAGGTGGACTTGTAAATTTTGTATAAAGATATATAATTTATCACACAACTTAAATTTATAACTTAATTAGCTAGTATGAAAAACACGAATATCTATAAATCATGGATATAGAGTGTTAATTTTCAAAGAGGATTTATTAATTTTAGAAAAATATTTAGTGAAAGTTATATTCAAGTCCCACTAACAAAAGTTTATTACCAAGAGGTCCCATAAATTTCACAAAATACTCCCAAATTGCATATTCTATATATTGACAACTTGATTAAAAGCATTGACAACTGAATAACGACCATTTATAACTGTAAAGGAAAATGAAAATACAAGTTATAAATGGCCGTTGTCTAGTTATCAACACCCTTAATCAAGTTGTCAATGTATAATATTTAGGATTTGGGAGTACTTTGTGAAATTCATAGGACCTTTCAGTAATAAACTTCCTTCTATGAGACTTAAATATAATTTTCTCAAATATTTACAAAAAATAATGAATATTTTAATATGATATTACTAAAACAAACATAATATTTTATTTAATTACTTACCATTGTTGTTGTCAATAATGATAAGTACCTTATAGTCAGTCACAGTGGTTGGTCAAAATGGTGATTTAGTCTTGTACATTGGGAAGAAATGACATTTGTTTTTTTTTTTTTGGTATTCATTTGTAACTTAAGGAACTTAATCGGTATTAATTTTTTTATGAGGTACTTGTTTGTAATTTTCCAACCATCATTTTCCATAACTTTTGAGGTTCTTTTTTTTTAATTTTCTAATTAATTAATAGTTAAAATTAACTTTTATTAATAATGATAACATTGCACCATTTTCAATCATTGAAGGGTAATATTACACCAAAAAAAATTAGAATATCATACAATCATGGATGTTAAGAACAGAACTGTTCTTTGACCTTTCATTTAATGTGAAAGACTTATTTTTAAATAGATATTACACGATTTAAATTAATTAAACGACTTAATGGTACTCAAAATGTCAGTAGGTTCTTCATCCACAGCCACGACATATGTGTTCCATAGTCATTTCATTTGTCTTCTTTACAATTTTTGAAGTTGAACGTATGCTTTAAATTTATTATTTGATTGTCACCAGCTAATGGACAATTAATACATGATCAATTCTCTTCCTAGTCTTATACTTTTATTTATTTTAAGCTTTAAACGTACTTATGTTCCATATTCTGGATTATTGTTTTTGTCTTGTGATCTTTTATATTGCAGATTTGTTTTAATTTTGAAGGCAATTTAATTTGAGACACAGTAGCCGGGCACTAATTAAACCAATTTTCTCTTCTCTTTGAATGTTTTAGTTCAAACATATTTTTCTTAAAAAATACGCATATATTCAGATGGAAGAAAATGCTTAAATTAATTTTTAAGATGTGTTTTTCATTTTATACAATCCAATTATGTCGCGGAAATTCTTAGCTGTGCAGAAATATGAAAATTTGTATAGTGTGTGATAATTCGCAGGTCATATATAAACAGTTGTGTAAGAATTAGGTAAAAATAAGCTAACTAACAATCTTCAGACATAAGCAGACGCAAATAAGCAGAAAGAAATGCGGCAATCCAAGTCAAATTTCAGTTCTTTAAACGGTGGATTCATAGATGTTTAAGCAGAGAAATTAAAGGGAAGAAATTAAATCAAAGACGTTAAAAATGAAGGAAAGAAATATAGAAATGATTACTTGTTGTTAGAATACTCGTAGAGACGGCCACGGCTGGAGAAGACGATGAGGGCAACTTCAGCATCACAGAGGACAGACAGCTCATAGGCCTTCTTCAGAAGCCCATTCCTTCTCTTGCAGAACGTCACTTGCCGATTCGTTGTATTCTCTATCCTCTTTATTTCAATCTTCCCTCTTCCCATTTCTTTCATCATCACCGAAGCCCACAATCATCATATCAGATCTTTGTAATAAATATGTGTGTGTGTGTGTGTGTGAATGAAATTTCTATGGATCTATAAGTTGTGATCTTAAAGAAACGTAAATGTTTCACGAAGAACGGTTTGATACAAGTCACAAGATGAAAGATACGTTTTAGGTGAAAGACCAAAGAGGATCTTTGGGAAAACACAAGATCTGAAGATCGTACAGTACAAGCTCGCTCTTTTTTTTTTTTTTTTTTAACAACAGATTCGGAACCCTTTTTCTTCATCTCTGTCTCTCTCTCTCTCTCACAACAAGTAAAACCTCTTTAGGGTCAGAAAAACCTCTTCATCTTAGCATGAAAATATGCAAAGCTCTGAACACAAGAATGACCACACCAGTTTGCTGAAGAAAACGTTTGAAAGTGAAGAAAGAAAAGGGTACACACAAAACATAAATGGCGGATTTTTTATTTCTTTTCTTGTTCTGGAAAAACACTTGGTTTGCTGAGACGATCAGAGGGAAGACCAAGAGAGAAAGTAAGAAATAGAAAAAGAAGATTCTGCAATCTAGCTACACATGTGTATGAAGGAATTAATCACACAGATCTAGGGTTTAATAGATAAAAATGAAGAGAGGTTATATGAGGGATTAATAGATCTCAAAGAAAGAACAAGTATATAGATTCATAAACAAAATTATAATACAGACCTGCGTGATCAGCCTCTCTCTTTCCGGCTACTTCAGCTTTCGGAAAGATTACTAATCCCAAAGAGAGCCAACTATAGCATCTGATATAGCCTTTGTTCCACTTCCATCTCTCTCCTCTTTATAGTCCCTTTCTTTCTTTGTCTAAGTGTGCAAGAGAGAGGTGGAGTTTTGGGCTTTTTTTTAAAGAATTTTTTTTACTTCATCATGTTCCTATTATAAGGTACTTCTAACCATCTCATTGGAACAAAGAAGCCAAAGATGGTTAAGTCTTTAATTTTCTTTGAAAATATAATAAACTTTAAAATTGACCCCTATTTAAAAGAAATTTTTTTAAAAAAATTGCATTACATTATTTATCATAGTTAATGAGTTTAAATAAAGGTAATTGATAAAATACAATCAATACTCTACCAAATGCTTTATATTAATGATCACTTATCTTTCTAGAAACAGCCTTATAATAGAGATCAGAGGGTGAGATATCTAAACGTATTGGTATAGGCTAGCTAGAAGGCTATGCTAGCTTAACTAGCAGTTTCATGTTTAGATATTTTGCATGCAACGGTGTTAAAAAATTGTACTTTAAAAGCGTTTGATATATTACCCTTCTAATTCTGCTTGGTTTAATTCAAAATAATCAAAATTAAATATGATTTCTGTTACACCTGATCCAGAATTTTTCAAGGAGGAAAATCAAATAAAAAATATTTAGAAGTCGCCCCCAAAATTTTAAAGGATAGTTTTGGAAACCTCTTTGACATGTGATCTACATGTAGAGAAAATGGTACGATTATCGATTGTATGTGGGGAAGGTATTAGACATTTCACAAGACCCATCCATATATGAATGGTTACTTTAAATTAACTATATAAATGTATATAAGGCCTTAAAAATATCTTAATCTTCCTTAGTAAAAAAATAAGATAATCAAAAGCATAAAATTTATTTATTTACAAGTTGGACTTGACCTTGGATAAAACCCTAAAGTCTACGTACCCTTTCGAGGGATCGAAGCCCATGTATTTTGAGATAAAAATGTGTCTCTTGGTTGAGATTGTAGCATCTTAAATTTCAATCCATGGAACTAGTTGCTAATTAAGGGTAGATTAATAATTAGTTGATTGATTATGATTTTGGGTGTTGAATTAATGCATGTTGTTGGTTGGTTGGTGTGGACTCAAGATCGAATCGTAGAACAGCAATTTGAGACATAACGTGCAAGCAACAGTGAGGATTATCTCGCTATGCCACACATTGCAGCATGTGCCATATGGTACATATTTTTACTTAAGAGCTAAGTCTTAGCTCATGAAATCAGAAGAAGGAATTGAGAAAAATGTAGCTAAGAGGGAAAGGAAGCTTGGTTCTATTAGGGCATCAATTAATTGGTGATCAGGAGTTTGTTTCAGCTAGTGACTTGTTGGGTAAATATCGTATAGCCTTATGCTACATTTATACCAAAATTTCTTTAAGTTTGGTCTGTAGAGAAATCAAACTATGAAGTCTTAAGGAATTCAAACCTAAGTGAAAGGTTTAAAAAGGACTTTCAAGTAAGAAACTAAGATTTTGTAACCAATTTGAATTTTCATATTTGAACCTTAAGGATATAGGCTTAAATTAGCCTAAAGCACTAGGTTAAAAAGGGTAAATTGGTTGGTAAAATGAGTTAGGAGGGTATTTAGGTCATTTGAATAGCCTAAGGGCAAATGACAGTAAAAAAAGGATTGTATGAACTCAAAGCATGTTAATTGAGTTGTTTTTTGCATTAAGGAATTTGGCTTAGCCAAATTAAAACTTATGTAAATGTTGGAAACTAAGCAAGGAATGTTCCTTGTATAGAATGGGCATTTGAGAAATTGCTCGAGGGATTCTACACCTTGAAAGTCAAATGTGTAAACGATAACCCTTGGTAATAAAGGTAAAAGGTAACTGGAGTAACCCTATTACTTGTTTATTTATAAAATTATTTACAAGTACTTTGTATAATTGCATGCATTATGAAAATATGTGTATGTTTATGGATCTTAACCAAATGGCGAGGCTTGGCCCCATTTGTGTGAGTTAAGTGTGTTTATGATTCTCGACCATATGATGAAGCTTAACTCCATATGTGAGAGTCAGATGGTTAAAGTGGGACAGGTTTATGTGTATATGTGATTGTATGTGTTGTGCCTCACATAAGTTCACAAGTGTGTAATGTAGCATTGAGAGGTCAAATTGAATATTTGATGTGTTATATTTAATATGATGTGTTAATCAGGTACATCTAGTCTTTTTGGACTTGGTTCAAGGCCTAAGGTGGTCTAATAAAATAAGAAATGAGAATTGAACTCTTAGGGTATAAGTTTTGAAAGAAAAAGTAGCATTTTACACCAAAGTGTGTAATTTTAGATCGGACCATTGGATTGTGTCCCTTATCTCATTAGATAGAATATGTTGAGAGCTTCATATGAGCGTTTAAATCACTCCAATCGGTCATCAGATGTGGAATTGGCACATGGCCCTTTTTTAGGGTAAATAACTTATCTTTCTTTGAGTCATGAATTCATTTTTATGCTTCCATTAGCTCTCTTATTTGAACATATTTTTTTTATAAAGTCAGGATCTAGCATTTTAAAAATGTATGAGGGCTATTACTCTAATATTATGTTATTCTGTATTGTTATTGTTTGTTGTTGTGTTTGTGGATTACTAAAGTTCGGATTAAATGAGGGACTTTACAGATATTTTTTTAAGAAAACTATTAATTATTAATTTTTTATAAAATAATTTTAATGTTGGTTTGAATTTTTTATTCATGAAAATATTTTTTTTTTCCTTTATTGGTGATAAGATCTTGATGGATAATGTTGTGGAAAATATTTTTAATAGGATTTATGAGAATCTTATGTATCCTGAGGTTATCTTTCAAAACAATTTATCTTTTTTTTTTTTTTTTTAGAGAAACCTTTTATTTTCATTAGTGGAAAAAAAAGTTTTGAAATATGTACTTATATAAGATCAGCTAATTGACTTGTAAATCTATGAGGACTATGAAAAACTCACATAGTGAATAGAATAAAATCATGTACATGTGGTAATTTATCGATATGGAAGATTATAAATTAATTAGCTTATAAGTTTGCGTGGACTTTGAAAGTCTTGTGCAATCAAAAGGATATAAAATACTTTAAATGATGGATTGTGATAATTTATTGCCATACATGATAAATTAATTAACTTAAATATTTGCCAAGACTCTAAAAGTCCCATGCAATCAAAAAGAATATAATATGCTTTGTAGATGTACATGTTGATAATTTATCCCCATGTATGCCAAATTAATTAACTTAAAAATTTGTGAGGACTCTAAAAGCCTCTCATAACAAACAGATTAGTTAAAATCCTGATAGATATAATGAAGAATCAATAAAAAATATTTGAGATCTAAATCTTGAAATGTCTCATGAATACTTTCCCACATCTTATATCTCCAATTTTAATCACGATGCCTACTAGATTCCCTAGATGTATATATGTTACAATCAAATTCAACAATAATAATTGTCACATAAAATATGCAGAGATTAGAAATTATTATTATTATTTTCTATGTGGAAATATATCAAAGAACCGTATTAAAGTCCAACACTCATCATGTTATTATAGCATAAAGCATAAAAGAAGAAAAGTTTAAAGAGCAAGGCTCACATGTGAAGACACAAGATAAAGAAGAACAAAACAATAGCTATTGGAAATCATGACCTCATGCACACAATATTCAAGCACATAAAGAAAAAGATTGCAATCCAATTAGAAGAGAGATCACTCAAAGGAGGTCAAAAAGTTCTGGACTCAAGTTTAATCAATGTAGAAGCATGCATGCCAAAAGTTTAAAGGAAGGTAAACTTAGCTCTATAAATTTTTATTAATTTCCATCTCCTATCCTCTCTGTCACTATTTCTTTGAGTCTTTCCAACTGTCTTACCTCTGCTCTAGCTTTGCTTTTCTTTATATAGACCCTTACACCTAGGGTTTCTCTCAATTGTATCATGATTTTTTTAATCTATATTAGCATTTTATATATTGTTTGGTTATTACTATTTAGAGATTATATATTATTTGCTATCTTACCTATTATTATATCATGATTATAATATTATTTTGGAATCTTCACATCTTAAAATTAGATATTAAATTATATTATGTTGAAATCCTCAAATTGTAATATTAGATTATATATTTTCTTATTATTATATTATATATGTTAGGGCTTTCATACACATAGCCCATATTATAAGACTAAATAAAAGAAATAGCCTATCTTTTCTTAAATTTTAAAAAATGGCCTTTTTTTTAATATTTAGTTGATATTTAATTTATAAAACGGTCCTTTTAAAATTATAACACTTTGCTTTTTGTCAATCAGGCGAACGAGAGAGACAAATGTGGGCTATAGTCATGACGGAAGAAACAACTCAGAGATAGAAGAAAGCAAAGCAATGTCAGCGAGCCATAGTCATGACAACGAGAGACAAACATAAGGTGAAATGGAGCTATATTTCATGATTTTTTATTTTATTAGTTTAGGTATTTAATTTTCTATGATAAGCTAAGAGTTCAAAATTTTTTGTGGACTACATTTGATCCGTTTTAGGCAAATGATTATGTATTTTTTGTGTTATTGATCTGCAATACTACATCACTAATATACAACTGAATATCAATGATAAATAAGTTTATGTCTAATTGTCTAGTTATGTTAATTTACGATAGTATATGAGTGATATACTATTATATATCATTGATATATAAGCCCTATCAGTGAAAACTCACCATCTTATTTATCATTGATATATAGCTATATATCAATGATGTAGTATCGCAGATTAGTAACATGAAAAACATATAATCATTTATCCAAAATGGATCAAACACAGTCCATAGAAAATTTGATATTATCGAGAGATGTAAAGATGGTGAAAATCTAATGACAGATAATAGATCACATCCTAGTCTTCTACTTTCAGAAATGAGATGCCAAGCCAACTTTAACCATATAATAAACAATAATTTTTGGCAATGTGGAATTGTACATTCTCTGAATTGTTATTATTATCTAAAAAAATATTATATTATATTTTAAA